TTCCCTCTCTGTATGTATTTGTTATAGTGCATATACTCTATAACAAATCAAAATAATAACAATAAATTTATTTTAAATTAGTGAATCTGAGGCCAGTAGGTAACATGGAGATTAAGGCTACTAGATCCCATATGACCAGCTTCGCAATTTGAGTCCTGGACCTGACGGCTTGAGAGTCATGCCAAGAGCTTGTGCATGTGCACCCAAAATCCTGAGAGGAGAGTGGAGAAGGGATTACGGTCTGGTCATCCCCTGTGGGGTAATTTCTCACTTTTTCTCTTTCTCTTTTTCCCCTCTACTCCCTCCCTTCCTCCCTTTCTCTGGCAAGTGCATGCACCCTATAGCCAAAAATAAATAAATAAATAAATAAATTAGTGAATCTGGCAGGACAGATTGACATACTGTGATAGTATCTACCATGTTAAAGTATTTATTTAACATTTTTAATGTAACATTTTTGAATATGTATCCTTTTTTATTTAAAAAATATTGACCTGGGGCTGGCAGGTGGCATGATGGTTTAGGGCACAGGACTCCCACATGGCTGACTGCAGTTCAAGTCCCAGACCTAGCGGCTTTGCTTTCTCACTTTCTCTCTCTCTCTCTTTTATTCTGTCCCTCTCTGATCAAATTTAAAGAAATTAAATAATTAAATTAAATAATTATTTTAAAAAGTTAAAAATACTGAACTAAAAGGCCACCCTGTAGCCTAGTGGTTAAAGGGAGCCAGATCCCACATGGCTGACCTTGTTTTAGGTCTCAGCCCTGACAGCCTGAAAAACATGCTGGGCACATGCACATGTTTGCTCCAAATCTTAGCAGTATGGAAGGGATTGCAGTGTGATCACATGTACCCTCTGGCAATTAAAAAAAAAAAAATAGAATCCTATTTTAACTTCCTACTTTTACAACAAAAGTGGACATAGATTATCTTGCAAACTAAATTAAAAAGGAACTAGAGGGCTGGCCAGTTGTGTGGTGGCTAAAGCACTGAATTCACATGGCCAATTGCAGTTTGAGTCCTAAACAGGGGGCCTGTAAAACATGCTGAACACATGTGCTTTTTCTGCCCCAAATCCCAGAGGACAATGTAAAGGGGTTGCAGTGTGGCTATCCTCTCTGGGGCGAGAGAGGAGGGCTTTCTCTCTCTCTCCAGTGAGTGCACAAGTGGTATAGCAAATTAAAAAAAAAAAAAAAAGGAACAGAAAGGAAGTAACAAAATATGATATGATCACTTGCTTTTAGATCTTACCTGATTAATATTAAACCTGCCTTGATTTTTTTGGGGGAGTGTTTATTTTCACAGAGGTATCAATTTTTCCTTCTTTTTCTTCTGCTAAATTACTAATACCTATGGATTTTTTTTGCTCTTTTTTTTCTTTTTTTTTTTTTCTTTTCTTTTTTTAGCAAATCACAGATGAAGGTCTCATTACTATATGCAGAGGGTGCCATAAGTTACAGTCCCTCTGTGCCTCTGGCTGCTCCAACATCACAGATGCCATCCTGAATGCTCTAGGTCAGAACTGCCCACGGCTTAGGTAAACATTTCTTGTTTAGCTTTAAAAAAACTCAAGATAAAGTAACAAAAGCCTCCTTCACCCCTAGTTATTTCTTGAAATTTTAAGGTAGACACTGCAAAGCTATTTTTCTTTAAATGCCCAGCTTCTTGCTTCATACCTCATTCAGTTACATGTAGTTGGCAGAAACCAAGGGATAACTGTCCCCACATTTTACTGCTTGCTGTTCATACTAGGAAAAAAGTCAGCATTTCTTTAATTGAGGAGAACAAAGGAATTTTCTCTTACTAATGCTTGCAACATAATTCTTTTTTCAAAGAAGTTTTTAAAGGCCTATCCTGAGGTTATTTATATCAGAGTAATGATGCCAGGTAGATAGCAGGGAGTATTTTAAATAAACAGCTCTACCAGAGACTTCTATTGTGCTGGTAGTCTTTTAGAACAGACTTTTTATGGCTCCTCCTCTCTGCTTGAATATGGGATTGACTGAGTATTAAGAATACTTTGTTTAAAAAAAAAAAAAAAGTTTTTTTAGTATAAACAATTTATCAAACCCATTTTGTTTCTTACTAATGCTTGCAACATAATTCTTTTTTCAAAGAAGTTTTTAAAGGCCTATCCTGAGGTTATTTATATCAGAGTAATGATGCCAGGTAGATAGCAGGGAGTATTTTAAATAAACAGCTCTACCAGAGACTTCTATTGTGCTGGTAGTCTTTTAGAACAGACTTTTTATGGCTCCTCCTCTCTGCTTGAATATGGGATTGACTGAGTATAAAGAATACTTTGTTTAAAAAAAAAAAAAAGCTTTGTTAGTATGAACAAATTATCAAACCCATATTGATTATTGTAAGAGCACACTATTATGTGATGAATAGGCACAATCCCTATATGCCTTTTTATTTTTTTAAAACAAGACTTAGCAAATCCTCTGAGTGAACTGTCATTTTAGGTGCTTTACAGACACTAACTCATCTAGTCACTTAACCCTGTTATTATCTCCGTATTACAGATCAGGAAACTTGAAGCACAGAAACTTGCTTAGCTGTTAATGTCACACAAGGTCTCACAGCTGATGAGTGCAGGAGCAAGGAGTCAAACTCAGTCTGGCTTCAGAGACCATGAAACTACTTTTCTTACATATAATAATTGTAAAGCAATAAAACTTTTTCAAAACTTGTTTAATGATCACTTTGCCATGAGCCTAACCATAATTATTGAAAAAATGTTGCCTACAGTATCAAATTTGTTAATAAATCATAGACTTGTTAAAATTGGTGATCAGAACACTAGGTAGAATATTTCTCAGGAGCCAGGGAGGTAATCAGAACCTCACTGTAGAAATATCACGTGTTATCCTTTTCTGTTTTAAAAATAGGAGCCTTTAGCTCTATTCTCTTGTATGGTCATTCTGTTGTTAGAATGCAAAGGTTCTCAAATGTGTTCCTCAAACGTCGTATTTCATTGAGCTCATGCTCCCCCGGTGCTCTGCCGTGAGATACAGCTTTCATTTCTAATTGATTTCCAGTTAATAATAATTTCCTGTACTGGAACTTTCTTTTTATTCAACTTCAGTGGTAAATTATTTGTAAGTAAACATGTAATGTTCTTTGGTATATTATACAGAAGTCATTGCACTTCATAGAAAGCAGTGCTTAATTCCCCAGTCCTGTGGTTGGTATTTAGCAGTTGCCGGAATAGGAGAGTGGCTACCAGCTCAGTTTCCCTCTCCTCGGGGCCTCCCTGCTCACCTGTGGGAGAAGCAGGAAGCTTTCTTAAGTATGGAATTTCATATTTGGGACAGATCTGTAATTAGTCCCATCATTGCATTTTAAAAATCTGTTTAAATCTGAGGTAACCTACATGTAAAAAAGGGAAAGAAAATAATTTACTTCCGCAATAGATTAACTGAAATAGAGTATTTATCTCCATTTCCTTTGTTTTCTAGGAGCAGGCTGCCCTCTGGGGGTAAGCAGTATGCCATCAAGAAGGCTTTTAATGCATTTCATGCATTTTGGCATTAACTACAAACTTCATTTATATTCTTCTGTGTTCTATGATTGCATCACCCAGAAATGTGGTATTTATGGAACCACTTTATGATGACTCCAAGAAAATGAATGGCGAGATCTGTATACAGACTTGCTTAGCTGTTAATGTCATTCTATATTATAAACTCTTTAGGGAATAGGAGATTGCTTTCTTAAATTCTTGCTATTTTGATAACTATAGCTTTCAATGACCAAGAACTTGACTTTTATTTTGTTTTTTTAACAGAATATTAGAAGTGGCAAGATGTTCTCAACTAACAGATGTGGGCTTTACCACTCTGGCCAGGGTAAGTCTTTTGTCCAGGTTCCATAGGTTTATTTCCAGAGATTTTTGTTTGGGTTTTTTTTTGGTTTGGTTTGGTTTGGTTTGGGGTGATTTTTTTGTTTTTGTTTTTGTTTTTGGAGAAATGTTTGCTATAGGCACATGTGCTCACGGGAGAGACAGAGAGAGTGAGAAATCACATACCAGGGAGGCTGGCCACGCCGCAGTCCCTTCTCCTCCCTTCTTTTGGACTTTTAGGCACACAAGTACATGCATCTGGCATGATTTTCATGCCACTAGGTTTGGGACTTGAACAGCGGTTGATCACATGGGAGTCCAGCACCTTAACAACTACACCACTTGCTGGCCCCTTGTTTGGGATTTTTATTTCAGAAGAACAAATAACAAGGAAATTATAGAATGACAGCAGATTTGGGGTGTGAGACCAGAGAATCATCTGTGGCTAGTGTTACTGAGCATTCTCATGCCACAGCTGCAGACCTGCTGATGCCAATCAGAGTACAAACTGCTCTGGAAACGCAAACATGCACTGAAGAGCATGACACTCCTCTTGAGACTTGGATCTCCACAATTTCATTAGAAAATAAATTCAACTAATGCCCTGTGGCCTGATGGTTAAGGAAGCTAGATCCCACCTGGCAAACTGCTACCCAGTTCCTGGCCCCGGTGGCATGAAAAACATTCTGGGTACATGTGTGTATATATGTGCCCCAAATCCCAACAGGATGGAGGAGCAGGGATTGCAGTGTAACCAGGCCCCATTGGGGAACTTTCCCTCTTTCTCTCTCTGTGTGTCTCTTTTTCACTGTCTCTGGTGAGTACGTAGGCCCTCTGGCAATTAAGAAAAAATAAAATAGAAAATAAGCTGTGGAGGGGCGTTCTGGCTTTGTAATAAAAGCTTACTTGGTTATTTGATATGTGACTGGTATGTGAGGTTAATGTTGAAAGAAATATATAAGCCTGGTGTTTTGGTTTTTTGTTTGTTGTAAGTATTTATTTAATTCCATTTTTTATTCTTATTTTTTAATTTGACCAGAGAGAAAGAAAGGGAAACTGAGAAAGCAAGCTGCCAAGTCTGAGACTTGAACTGTGGTCAACCATGTGGGAATCCAGCACCTTTAACCACCATGCCACCTATTTTTTTTAATTTGCAAGAGAACACGTGTGCTCACCAGAGAAAGAAAGGAGGGACAGTGAGAAAGCATCCCCCCACAAGGGATAGTCACACCACAATCTTCCCCACAAGGGATAGTCACACCACAATCTTCCTTTGCTTCTCCCTCCTTTTGATAGTGTGGGTATGCACATATGCACGTGTACACACACATACACACGTTTTTCAAGCTGTTGAGTCCAGGATTTAAACTATACAATGGGCTACGCAATTGCCTTAACCACCATGCCGCTGACTGGCTCAAGCCTGGTTTTATTTTATTTTGTTTTGCTTTGTTTTGTTTTGTTTTGTTCGCTATAGAATACATATGCCTGCTAGAAAGAAAAAGGGAGAAAGTAAAAATCACCCCTCCCATGGGGAATGACCTGCCCCTTCTCCTTCATTCCTCTCTTGGGATTTTGGGCTTGTACACACAAGCACCCAACATGTTTTTCAAGCCTCTGAGTCTAGTACTTAAACGATGCAGTCGGCCATATGGGATCTAGCCTACTTAGCTTCCACGCCACCTGTTAGCCCATCCAAGCCTGGTTTGAGATTTTAAGAGATTTCTTTTTGTTTGCTCTCGAAAATTTTAATACTTGGAGTGGTTTATAAATTACTATATAATAACAGTGTCTAAAACTATAGTAAGTTTGGGGCCAGCAGGCGGCCTGGTGGTTAAAGGTGCTAGACTCCCACATGGCTGACTGTGGTTGAGTCTGGGACCTGATGACTTGCTTTCTTACTTTCCCTCTCTCTGGTCAAGTTGGAAAATAATAATAAATAAAGTTAAATAAAATAATTATTTTAAAAATTAAATAAAATTCAGACCAGCAGTTGGCATAATGGCTATGTCACTGGACATGTAGTCAACCGTGGTTCGAGTCCCGGACCCAGTGGCTTAAACTCACGCTGGGTGCTTGTGCGTGTATGCCCAAGAGCCCAAGAGGAGAATGGAGGAGAAGGGATTGCAGCATGGCCATCCCTCCTGGGGGGTGATTTCTCACTTTCTGTCTTTCTGTCTCTCTCCATCTTTCTGGTGAGCACACATGCCCAATAGCAAAAACCTCTCAAAAGAAAAAATAATTTAATTAAATTATACTGACTTTGACCACTGTTAAGAAACACAGAGGATTATTTACTTTCAGGTAACTTGATGGGTAGGGACTAACATATAGCATAAATAAAGGAGCATGTAAGCTTGCTTTCTGTTTCCCAAAGGAACAATTGAATTATTTACAGTTGAGAGAATTGATTTATTAGCTGAATTATTGTTTGTTATTATTTATTATTATTTATCAGGAAATTTCTTTCCTTAGCTTTGTAAGGTGTTAGAAACTTTCAGTGTGGAATAACTGAGAAATTTTACTATGCTCAAAATCTTTCAAAATATGGGGGCCAGCAGATAGCGTAGCGGTTATATCTCTGAACTCCCTCGTGGCCAACCACAGTTTGGATCACGAATGTGGTGGCTTCAAACTCACATCGGGCACATGTGCATGCGTGTCCAAGATTCCATGAGAAAAATGGAGGAAAAGGGATAGTGGCATGGCCATCTCCCCTGTGGGGGTGACTTCTCAATTTCCTTCTCGCTGTCTCTATCTCTGGAGAGTCCACGTGCCCTAAGGCAAAAACGTCTTAAAAATGTAATTAAGGGGCTGGCAGGTGGTGTCGTGGTTAAGGTGCTGGACTCCCACATGGCTGACTGTGATTCAAGTCCTGGACCTGGTGGCTTGCTTTCTCACTTTCCCTTTCTCTCTCTCTCCCTGATTGAGTTTAAAAAATAATATTAAATAAAAATAATTCTTGGGACCAGCAGTTAGCATAATGGCTATGTCGCTGGACTCCCACGTAGTCGACCGCAGTTCACATCCTGGACCCGGTGGCTTAAACTCAAGCCGGGCATGTGTGCGTGCGTCCATGCCCAAGATCCCGAGAGGAGAATGGAGGAGAAGGGATTCCAGCATGGCCATCCCCCCTGGGGGGTGATTTCTCGCTTTCTGTCTCTCTGTCTGTCTCTGTCTGTCTGGCAAGCGCACGCACCCTATGGCAAAAACCCCTCCAAAAATAATAATAATAATAATTCTTAAAAAAGAAAGTTAATTGGATAAGATGGAAAGTGACATTAAAATGACACTAACTTGGGCCAACCAGATGGCATAGTGATTAAGGGGCCCACCTAGCCAACTGTGCGGTTCCAATCCTATACCCAGTGACTTGAAAAGCATGCCAGCCATGGGGCCAGCAGGTGGTATAGTAGTTAAGGCACTGGACTCCCAGATGGCTGACTGTGGTTAGAGTCCCAGGTCTGGAGGATTAAAAATCATGCCAGGTGTGTGTGTATGCCCAAAATCCCAGAAAGAGAATGGAGAGAATGGAGGAGAAGTCACTGTGGAGTGGCCATCCCCCTAGGGGGTGGCTCTCTCACTGCCTCTCTCTTTGGTAAGTGTATACACCCTATGGCAAAAACCTTAAAAAAAAAAAAAAAAAAAAGAAAGAGGAGGAGAAAGAATTGAGCCCTCGCCATGCCCCTTTGGGGCTTGCTCTCACTTTCCTCCTCTTCATCTCTCTGGGCAGTGAATATGCCTAATAGCACATTTTTAAAAATTGGGGGAGTAGGGACCAGCAGGCTGTGTGGTGGTTAAGGCACTGGACTCCTATATGGCCAACCACAATTCAAAGCCTGGACCTGGCAGCTTGCTTTTTCACTTTTCCTCCTTCTCTCCTTCTGTCTGTCTCTGATCAAATTTTAAAATATTACTCATAAATAAAATAAAATAAATAATTATCTTTTTAAAAAATTGGAGGGGAAGCAGGTGATATATCGGTTAAGACACTGGATTCCCAAATGGCTATCTATATTTCAAGTCCCAGACCTGGCAGCTTGCTTTCTCACTTTCCCTCTTTTTCTCTTTGTCTCTCTCTGGTCAAATTTAAAAATAATAATAAATAAAATAAATAAATATTTTTAAATTTGTTTAAGTTTTCCCATGTTTTAATGTTCAGACTATAATGTTTGGTTTTCTATTTTGTAGAATTGTCATGAGCTTGAAAAGATGGATCTGGAAGAGTGTGTTCAGGTAAGAAAGTGCATTTTTACTCAGCAGTACAATGTGAGAGAAACTTACATAGCACATGTACATTAGAAATGCCAGTTTTGGGGACCAGCAGTTACCATAATGACTGTCGCTGGACTCGCATGTAGTCGACTGCGGTTCGCGTCCCAGACCCGGTGGCTTAAAACTCACACCGGGCACGTATGCGTGCGTGCCCAAGATCCTGAGAGGAGAATGGAGGAGAAGGGATTGCAGCGTGGCCATCCCCCCCCGGGGGGGGGGGGTGATTTCTTGTTTTTGTCTCTCTGTCTCTGTCTGTCTGGCGAGCGCACGCGCTCTATGGCAAAAACCTCTCCAAAAAAAAAAGGTGAAAAAAGAAATGCTAATTTCCTACTCTAGTATGTGACACCATGGTGCCTGGTAGCTCTGCCAGTTGTCCATCTATTAAGGTGTCTCAGGCATACCAGGCACAGATGTTCATGGTGTTAAAGCACTCTGAAAACATATGTCTTCAATCAGACTACCATTAGATAGAAAGGAGGCCCAAACATTCAGGCTATAAAGCTATTAAAATATTTTCTTGGGAGGCTAGCAGGTGGCATAGTGGTTAAGGGTGCTGGACTCCCACATGGCCAACTGTGGTTTGAATCCTAGACCTGGCAGCTTGCTTTCCCTCTTTCTCGTTCCCCCACCCCATCCCTCTCTGATCAAATTAAAATAAATAAATAAATAAAGTTAAATAAAATAATTCTAAAAAACAAGAGAGAGAGAGATAAAAAAAAATGTTTTTTTTTTAAACTTGGGACAAGAAGGTGGTGTGGTGGTTAAGGGCGCCAGACTTCCATGGGGCCAACTGTGGTTCGAGTCCTGGACCTGGAGGCTTGCTTTCTCACTTTACCTCTGTCTCTGTGTGTGCGTCTCTCTCTCTCTGGAAATATTAAAATAATAATAATAAATAAATTTAAATAAAATAATCATTTAAAAAATATTTTCTTACATTTACAGAATTATAATACCAGCAAGTAAATAAAGCTCCATTACAATGAGCTATAGCACTGCCCTTCTTTAGCTTAACCCTGGGTCTCTTCTATCATTAACTCTGGAGATCTGACTCTGTAGGAAACTCTGTCCTTAGGGCAGATTGCCTCCTTGTCAGTAATTTATTACATTTTTCTTTTCTTTAGAGAGATTTTTGCTACAGGGTGTGTGCGCTTCTGGGAGAGACAGATAGAAAGCAAGAAATCATCTCCCAGGGGGGATGGCCATGCCGCAGTCCCTTCTCCACCAATCTCCTTTCAGGATTTTGAGCATGTATGCACACGTGCCCATCGTGTGTTTCAAGCCACCAGGTCTGGGACTCTAACCATGATCAGTTATGTGGAAGTCCATAACCATTACACCAGCTCCTGGTCCCAAGCGATGAATTTTTTAATGGTAAAAGTAAAAAAGGACTCTTTAACTATAAAAGCCACTTTTTAAAAGAATTACTTGTCTGGGGCCAGCGGGTGGCATGGTAGTTAAGGCACTGGACACTCCCACATGGCTGACCACAGTTCGGACCTGGTGGCCTTCCTCCCTTTCCCTCTCTCTCTGCATCTCTCTCTGGTCAGATTAAAAAAGAAATGAATGAATAAATAAAATTAATTTTTAAAGAAATCCTTTTTTTTTTTTTAAAAAAAAAGTCTGGACACTGCTGTTGGTTCTTACTAAACAAAACTGTATATCCATTTGTCTCTTCCTCTGTGTCCTTTGCAGTGTTAGTCCTTTTGAATAGACGTGACTGTCTGCCTCACCCCACCATTTCTTAGCTTCTCTGAAGCTATCTGTTAAAAAAGATAATAATCTCAGAGTTGGAGAAGAATTTGAAACTGAAAAAACTTTCAGTCCTGTGAGAACTATAAAGACTTTTCTTTCTCCCTGAACATTCATAGTTAATCCAGATTCTAGCAGTGCCGGGACCAGCAGTTAGCGTAATGGCTATGTCACTGGACTCCCACATAGTCGACTGCAGTTCGCGTCCCGGACCCGGTGGCTTAAGCTCACCTCGGTGTGTGTGCGGGCGTGCCCAAGATCCCGAGAGGAGAGTGGAGGAGAAGGGATTGCGGCGTGGCCATCCCCCCTGGGGGGTGATTTCTCGCTTTCTATCTCTCTGTCTCTCTCTGTCTTTCTGACGAGCACACACGCCCTCTAGCGAAAAATCTCTCAAAAAAAAAAAGATTCTAGCAGTGCCTATCTGTCACCCTTGGGAGAATAACTGACACTCAAATTCCCAGTCCTGAGTTGTGGCATGCCTTATTAAAAAATAGGTCAAACATACGTCTAGAAATTTGAGGATGCCCCATCATGTATTTTTTTTAAAGAACACTTATCTTCTGGGACCAGCAGATGGCGTAATGGTTACATTGCTGGACTCCCACGTAGTCAACCATGGTTCGACTCCCAGACCAGGAGGTGTAAACTCACACCAGGCACATGTGCATGTGTGCCCAAGGTCCCACAAGGAGAATGGTGGAAAAGGAAATGTAGCATGGCCATTTTCATGGGCTCACTTTCTTTCTGTTTCTGTCATTCTGGGGAACGCACATGCCCTATAGCAAAAAAAAAAACTTTCTTTTTTTCTGGGGGAGGGGGTTTGCCATAGGATGCGTGTGCTTGCCAGAAATACAGAGAGAGATAGAAAGCGAGAAATCACCCCCTGGGGGAGATAGCCATGCCGCAATCCCTTCTCCTCCATT